CATTCAAACGTCCTAAAAGCAAGATCTTCATATTTTAAAGCAGCTTTATCAAATGATTGGATTAAAAGATCTGAAAATGGTGTTATTTTATTTGAGAAAGAAAACATATCTTCAAAAGTTTTTGAAGTTCTTTTAATGTAAGATTATTAATTTAACTAGCTTTACTGATTGATTGATAAATTAATTGCTTAAAAATAATAATATCATTGTTAAAAGGTACATTTATAGTGGAATTGTTAATATAGATAATTTGGATTTTTATGAAACAGTTGAACTTCTTGTGTCATGTGATGAATTAGGTTTTAATGATTTAATTGATGAATTACAAAATTATTTTATTGCAAATAAAGAAATATGGATTCAACATGATTTAAATTATCTTCACCAAATTTCATTAAGACACCAATCATCATTCAATTTGCTTCATGATTATTTTAAGGAAATAATTAATAAGGAGCCAGAATTATTTTTAGAATCAGATGATTTCAAAGATATTAAAAAACCATTATTTATGATTTTATTAAAAAAAGATTTAGAAGTGGATGAAATTGATGTTTGGGGTCTCATTATTAAATGGGGTATTGGACAGATCAAAAATTTGGAAGAAAGAGAAAATTATATTTTAGAATGGAATGAAAATGATCACAAAGAGTTGAAAAATATACTTGAAGACATTATTCCTTTAATTCGATTTCAGGATATCTCTAATGAGGAATTTAGTAATAAAATTAAGCCATATCAAAAAATTTTTACAGAGTTTTTATGGAATAACCTTTTACAGTATTATTTGGTTCCTGATATACAGCAAACATTAAATTTATTACCATCACGATTTCCAAAAATTGAATCAAATACCATCAATTATAAGCATATTTTACTTTTTACAAGTTGGATTGATAGAAAAAATACACAATACAATTCATTCAGGGAAGTTAGATATAAACTTAAACTATTATATCGTAGTAGTAGAGATGATTTGGATTCATATGTATTTCATAAAAAATGTGATAATGTTAACAGAACTCTTACAATTGCCAAAATAGAAGATTCCGATCAAATAGTTGGTGCATATAATCCACTTAATTGGAATGGAAAGTGGACATATAAAAATACAACTGAAAGTTTTATATTTAATATAAGGGATAGAAATGAGATTAATACTGCACAATTTAGTTACGTCATTAATAATGATTATGATCATGCAATTTGGTGTGCACCTTTTTGTTTACCTCAGTTTGGTATTGATAATGATATTGCGTTTGGTGAGTATGGTTGGATTGGTGCTAATCCAAATCATACTTATAATGACATTAATGTAGTAAATGGTATTAATTTTGATGAATTAGAAGTATTTCAAATAATTGATAAGAATTAAAATCAATCAAAAATATAAGTAAAGAACGTCTATATAATAATAATAAATAATAGATCGTTGTTATTAACATTTTGTAACAAGTGTAGATTTATTGTTAATATTAAATATACAATAGATATGATGACTACTTCTACCACCTAAGTATGTATATATTCTTGCATCATTCAAGCCAATAAAATAATTATCTGGAAGGGGATCATCACAAAATTTAGCCAATGAAAATCAAATGTCCACTATGCTCAATAAAACCTGCACGAAAATCACACGACTTGCGAGTTTTGGGAAGGAGATCGTGACACGGAAAATGTAATATTAATATGTTTTTTATTTATTAAATTAAATACTTGTGTAATGTTTAGGGGGGATTTGTTATATATTAATAATGTACACAATTCAAAAAATTAAAACTCTAAAAAAACTTTTTAGTTAATATAATGAGTGATTACAATATCACAGGTCCTGATGTGCTATCGTTCAGAGATGGAAATAGAACGTTACCACTAGTCATAATGGGTTCTATAGCAATAGGATCCATGCTAGTTCATTTAACAATAACGTTTATATTGAAAAGAGTTGCAGCCAAAACAGGCTGGACATTTGATGAAGAAGTGGTTAAGCACTGGTTAGTTTTTGTTTATCATATTGATTTTTTACCATATCGGTTTCTTTTTATCATATGTGTGTATATATATATATATATATATTAATACTAATATATATATATCTATTGTACGAGAATAGTGCTAAACCCAGTTTCGTCACCTTTCCCATTGGAACTATTCTTATCACACTACCATTTGTTTCTAATGTTGATCTGGCTATATTATACCCAATTCGACATGCATTGGCAATCGTTTTGATAATTTTTGTAACTTGGACAGTAGTTGGGTTTGCCAAAGCTGTGTCAATAACAATATCAAAAAATAATGATTTCATAAAATCGTCACATGAGTTACAAGCTCGTAAATTACAAACTCAACTAACGGTGTGTACCAGGATAGCGTATATAGTCATTTTCTTGATCGGTGCATCTTGTATTCTATTGACGTTTCCTAAAGCTTGGGAAATTGGAGTTGGTATCTTGGCTAGTGCTAGTGTAACGGCCATTTTTGTTGGTTTTGCTGCAAAACCATCAATTGAGGTTAATACGATGATTATTTTATGGGGTACATGTTTATACAATAGACCTAACTAATGTTATGTATATGTATTAATGATTTCATTAAATTAGAATTTAATTGCTTCTTTACAAATAGCTTTAACTCAACCACTTTTACTTGATGATTACGTTTCGATCGGCGAGTGCGAAGGCATTGTTGGTAAATATACAATCTGATTGTCATTATTATAATTCTGATTATTATTAATATTAATATGGGAAATTAATATGAAATTTTCAAAAAAACAATAAGAGGAAATTCAAGCACAATTTATAGTTGTTAGAACTGGAGATGACAAGAGGTTAATAGTTCCACTTATTCGTATAATAAACGAAACTTTTGAAAATTGGTCAAAAACTAGTCAAAATATTACCGCTACATTTGAATTATACGTGGATTATGGCGTTCCATTGAATGATCTGAGGCAACAGTTTATGATGTTTGTTCAAAAACATGAATGTTGGGATCACAGAGATGCTAGTCTAAAAGTATGACTGATTGATTGATATACATGTATTCATTTATTTATTATTTGCTACATAAACAAGTTGCTAATTTAATTTTTTTTTTTAGATTAGCAAAGCCGGAGAAAATTTTTTAGTGCTAAAGGCAGCAATGACCAGTAATTATTATTTCTTCTTTGCTCCTTTTCATAAAATATATTTGTTCTGGAATATTTTAATGTTAATATTTTCTTTAATTTTTTTAGCATCTAATGTCAGAAATTTATTTAAAATACAAAATGATATTCGTGAACAATTGGTAATTTAAATTGAAATTTTTTTTATTGTATTTTTTTTTTTTGCCAACCAACCAACCAATCAGTTTATCATTTACACGCGTTTCTCACGATATATTTCTATAGATTGAATATTTAGTGGTCACACATCCACATTTTCTTCCAAGGATGAAATATGAAAATTTACAATCAAGAGTTGGAGTCGATAGCATGAAAAAAATTGTTACAAAAATGGAGGATCCAGAATTAGATTCTTATAAAGACATTGAAAAATTACATTTTCTACAAAAAAAATCTTAATATTTTTATGTACATTATTTATAATTATATTCTTACATGTATATTTAATTTTATTTATTATGTATGTGCATCTTTCATACTTTCTGGTCATGTGACTTTCGTCTGTGTTTAAAGAGAATTCTGAGAAAATTTTGAAATACAAAATATTATCCACTTTCAATATAATGATAATGGTTAAAAAATTTCATAAACATATCGCAATATTAGTTGACAAAAATGGTTTTAAAACATATCATTGGTTAATTCCCTCAATATATGGAGTTTTGATTCAAATGAACCTCAATACTATTCATTAGCATATTGTCAATCACACTATTAAAAACAATAATTATCATCAATTATTATAATCGCCAAAATAGCCAGTGACAATATCATAACATGTAAACCAATTGTCGACGAAATGAACTGTCGACGAAATGATGTCGACGAAGTGATTGTCGATGAAGTGAACGCGACCGGTTTGCAACTCTTTTCAAATATTCAGAGTTTAACCATCATTGAAAAATAAAATTGTTAATTCCCTCAGAAAATTTATGTCGTTAATGATACTGTCATGGATCTTTCAAATAAATATTATTTTTTCAATGAAAAAAGAAATTCACTCTTTAAATCTTCGTATATATATTCACCGCGTAATCTCTCAAAACATCCAATGTGATGATTACATCAGGTAGGTATATCAGGTAAATGAATATTGTTGAAGTGCGTGTGAATGCGTAATCAAACAATAATTCAAAAATACTATAATACGACTCCCCTGAATAAGTTATCTGCGAAGCCAATTCTACAGGAACCTGAAATCTTATAGATTATATTATAATTGTCTTGTTATTGATCGAGGTCGATTTTTTTGCTCAAGAAAAATTGTTTCATATTCATCAATTCGACAAAAAAAAAAAGTAAAATAAAAAAAAGCGCGTCAACGTTTTGTTTTTTGAACTTTTGATGATTGAGTATGCGTGTTTTGTTAGTATTAATTTACTCGTTTCATTATCATCAATATTTGAGGTTTTTTAGAAGAAATAACGCGTTTTTCAAAGGGTAGAAGAAGGATGAATGATATTTTATTTATATTGTTTATAAATATACGTATATTATGTGTAATTTTTTTTATTATAATTATTAACCTTTCAAGGGAAGGAAAGTAGCAAAATGGATGATAATTCAATCAAAATTAAAAAAAGGAACACTTTTATAAGAAAGGTTCTTTTGGTGAATTATTTCTGTCCGAGATTAATTACAGTGTCATGGATAACAAAAATTAATAAATTTATTTATTTTTAAATTATTAAATTAATACATTAAATAACTATTTATAAATATATTTATAAAGATATATTGTATATGTGTGATTTCTCTCCCCCCCTCTCCCCTCTAAATTTATACATTAATACATTATTTACCCTTATAAGAAATAATTAAGGCACTACATCAGTGGTGGGAATCTAGAAGTATTCGTATTGGTAGAAGAAAACTCTGGTGGTGTAAATCCAGTAGTTGATGATGACGAAGCATCAATCAACGGAACATTTTCGTATGTAATAGTAGGATATTGACTTCCAAAAACATTTGGACTTTGAGTAAAATAATCTATTCCTCCTCCTGACATATCACTATTATTGTTATTGTTGGCATTATTATTATTATTATTATTATTATTATTATTATTATTATTATTAGTAATACGTTGAAGTGTACGTGGTGTTAAAATGTACGGAGATCGAAGGAGACTTGTCCAAGATTCACCAACACCATTAATAAACGTTTGGTCACTAAATAAGAGACGTGGTGACAGTAGGCTGGTAGTATTGTTATGGGAAAAATAGAGAAATCATCAAATTATTATTATAATGATTATTTAAGTTTACACACCATCAAAAAATTACTAAAAATAATTTTCGTTGTCTAACCTCATTGGCACCATATTATTATTAATAATACCAATGTCATCACTTCCTAACCCTCCAAAATTATTATAGATATTGATATTGTTGTCATAGCTGCCGTTGAATTCATTGTTGTTATAATTGTAAAATGGCGTTATATCAGATTTATTATTGGATTCTTTAGCTATTATCATTTCTTTCATCAACGTGGCCAACTTCCCGGCTGTTGCCCAATGTGATTCCATATCCCTCAAGTATTGTTCGTCAATTTTCAAATATTTTTTTGCATTTTGTGCCAATTCTTTGTCATTACTAAATGAATCATTGATATGAATAGATGCGGTTGCAAATACACCATAGACACTGAATGGGAACATGTTGGAGCAACCGATACTAATGATATCTTTTGCTATCTCAGAAGCAAATCGTGCAGCTTCTGTACATTTTGCATCAGATTTTTTTACAAATTCAACATCAGGTGTAACTCCATCATTTTGTTGTGATCTCGAGAAACTGTGTCTGTTCAGCACAACGACAGTTGCATGATATACTATATGCATTGTGGCAAAACTCACACCTGCACCATTGCTCATATATTTTTGTAATTTCTCAAACGAATAGTCATAATGTGGCGAAATTGAACTGTGCCATGATTTTATATCGTCTTCAAGTTGAACATATTCTGATTTGGGATCCCAAGGTTGCGAAATATTTCTAGAGTTTGATCTATTGACATATTGACAAGCACGCCCAAGTAAAGCGGCAACACTAACAAGGCAAGCACATAGTCCGCATTTAGCAAGTTTAAGCAGGAGTCCTTGTTTTTCTTTAGATTCTTTTCGAAATTCGTCAATTTTTGGACTGGTGAATGGATGTTCTAAATTCCATATTTCTTCTTTACAAGGTAATCGAACATCACAATCAGATTCTTGAATCATATGAGGTCTACCAAGTGCACATGCTGAAAATCTTTTGGTTTTTAAAAATTTTTTATTATATTAAATTAATCAATCAATCAATTAGTCAATTAAACGAAAGATTGCGCACTTTTTTAAAAACAAACATCACGTTTTTTTTTTACCTATCAAGCGTAAAACCAAGCCAAAACGTCCTTCTGCGAGTTTCTTTCTTAATAAATGCCATTTCATCATCAACAATTGAATGTGATGAATTTGCAAGCGATTCGTCTATTCTGTGTAATCCTATTTCCTGTGCCATTCTTTTTTTAAAAAAAAAATAGTTGTAAGTAAAAAAAGAAGTAAAGGAAAGGAAGAAATATTTTTTAATGAATTCAAAAATATAATACATATATGTACCTTATAGCAATTCCTAAATATGTCCAACATCTAGGACCTTTCATTGCACCGTAGCTATGCAAAGTAAGTAATAACAGAGCTATTGAAATGTTTAAATGTAAATATAAATGCATTAATATTAATGTACGTATTTGGATTAATTGAACAGCAATGATAATAATAATGATTAATAAATAGATAAGAAAGATTGATGCCTTGTACTGCCTCTGGACTTGGACGATCGATTGTATGAAATATCATTTGAGAGGCTATTTCAGCATAACCTTCACCGGACAAATACCTTGGATTTCTTACAATGTTTTGACGATCCGAAAACCTTTTAATAATGATAGTAATAATAAGGTAATTAGTTAATTGATTAATTAACTTATTTATTGTATCAAATATTTATTAATCTCTCTCACCTTGCAGCAACAGCACAGAGAGAATATATAAGAAACGGAGAAACTTTATTTTGTCTTAGTTGAGACATAAAAGTTGATTTATGAAGTAAAGGCATTTGATTATCCATATAACGAAAATAACAAGAGGCTAGATGTTCCACAGTATCCATATCCAAAGATGGCCTAAAGAGAATTGTTTTTGTCATTGGCATACTGACGTTGTTATTATTAAGAATATAATTATAATTATTGATATTGATATTTGGGCTATTTTCAATTGAATTATTATTTGAACTGCCACTAGATTCTGAACTATTTTCTGAGGAGTTAGTAGTGGTAGTGTGCATTATGTCATTATCATCCGCATCTCCACAGAACGTTTCTTTTTTTGGTATGAATCCTGGCTGTGCCGAAGTTTTGCCGAAATATATTAATACATCATCCTCTTCTTTTATTTCAGTTTTTAGTTCATTTGATTCGATTAATGGAGAACTAGTAGTAGAAGAAGAGGAGGAGGAGGAAGAAGACGGCGATGGTGGTCGTTGTAGTGGTGATTGCAAACTATTATTATTGTTAATATTATTAATATTAATATTGTTCAACTGTGGTTGTGAATTAGGAAATGCATTAATGAATTCTTGATCATTATTATTATTATTATTATTATAAGCAGACGATGACGACGACGATGATGGCGATCTCAAATTAATTTGTGAAGGAACAAAATCATTATTTGATTTGGAAACATTGTTATTACTATTAGGATCTTGAGAAATGAATTGCAACTGTTGCAATTGTTGTTGTTGTTGTTGTTGTTGTTGTTGCTCTTGGTTGAAATTCTTGTTATTGTTGGGACCCCCTACAACAATTCCTTGTTCTTTGAGGGGTTGTAAAAGTTTTTCCATTTGTTGAAGACGTCTTTCCAAACTCTCTACCAAACCAACTCTTGGACCTCTTTTTCTTGGACTAGGCAAATATGTACAATTAAGATTTAATCGTGTACAATTATTACATGAAGGTTTCTCACCACTGCATTTAACCTTTTTTTTCCTGCACACATCACATGCTTGAGTCAATCTTTTTCGTTTAACCGATTGGTTGTTATTGGCTTTATTCGTTGCATTGTTTGATGAATTATTACTTGATGATGATTTCGGATTACTAATATTATTAGAGGTATTAGCAATGTAATCATTACTATTAATAGTATTATTTGTGTTAGCAATGTTTGTAGTGTCATTAATTGATCCAATAGCTATTGAGCCATGATTGTTATTGGATGATTGTTGTTGTGACAATGATAAAACCAAACTTCGATTCTTTTTATCCACCATAATCATTGTTTGGGAAGTTTAGAATAAAAAGTTTAACCGATAATTTTTATCCGTTTTTTAAAATTGGAAAATCAGTTATTAATAATTTTATTATTTATATTTGTTAATTGATTGATTTACATGAAGGGAAAAATTGCTATTATTATTACTGAATAAATATATATTAATATTTCGGTTAAAATTTTTTTTTGCATGTACACAAAAAAATATGGGTAAATTTATCAGCGAAAGAATTTAAAAAGTGGCTCAATTTTTAAAAAATCTATAAAAATTTTTTTCGTATAAGGAAAAGCGGATAAAAAAATACCGAAATTTATAAAGAAAAAAAATTAAAAATCTTTTTTCATAGAATTTCTAAGGTTTATATAACTTTAACTTGTGACACCAGGTAGTAATGGTTAAATATCGGTATATTGTCATACCGAAATCCCGATTGTGATTGTGATGACAAATCAATTAAGATTATAAATGTTATAAAAGAAATTACGAATTAATTTAGTACCACACACGCTTATAGAAAGAAATTAGTAGAGTATCGGGGAATTTCCTATCAACAAATTGCTTTAATATTAAACCTAATTTTTAATGGTAATATAAAAAGCCTCCAAAAAACTTTTTTGTTTTTTTTCAGTATTCGAAATTCTATATAAAAACCATATAATTTCCAAATTTGGTTAGGTTATTAGAAACTTTCTATGAATGAATACAAGTGGATAAAATTTTTAATCGCCAAGACACTCGCCACATATATACCAAAAAACCAGTAATATTAAATGGGCATATATACTATTTACTATATTAATTAATATTAATATTAATATACAATAAAATGAAATTTCAGGGGTTGATTTTGATTGGTTATACAAAGTACCCTAATTCGTTTTACGATTTTGCTCATTTAATGAACGCAAAAGTAACTATAAAAAATTCACTCATTTTCACGTTAACGAGATAAATCAAATTGCAGAAATCTTTATCCTTATTTTTACCAGTGAATTCTTTATGGATCTTTTCTTTGCCTAAAAATAGCATCAACAAAAAAATTTATAAAACAATTAGTCAATAGGGCCTGGGAAAATTAAAATTACTAAAACTAATCTGTGATCAAAGCACTACCCAGGGGATGTTGAAAAAACTGTAGTAGTAGAGGGTTTTAAACAATTGATTAAAAAAAAAAGGGGGCTGGACAAACGATTTCAGGGATTGCTGCTTCTATATGGGGTATGCTGCAACAAAACCAGACAAAGTGAACATTGGTATTACCAAGGAATTCAGGGATCAAAGTTTAGTCAT